TTTCATTGTTTTCATTCACGTGGCGTTATATTGTGCAGTTTTCTTCTACGTTCTGATATCGTTTTATTAATGGAAAATCAAATTTTATTAATAATTAATTAAAATCAATAATGAGTTAATAGTGAGTTCCACCTGCTTTCTGACATCTTATTTCGATATCTTTCCAAACTAGATAAATTCTATAAATTGTCGCGTTTAAAATAATCGGCAAAGTATAAAAAAAATTCTCTCTTTAAGGTACAATGCGCTACGTATTGAGACTAGCGCCATGCGGAACTTTTGCGGTGGTTTAATTTTATCAAGCATATAATATTCAACGCACACACACACACAAGGGCTCGAAGGGGTATCAAATATCTACGTTGGGATCAGATTTGACCTCGCAACAGTCGGGAATGAATATTAACGTATCGCGTAGCCTTGATCTTTTTCATTCGTGTCCCGCACAGTTGCACTGCAAATATTTGGACCCTGAGCTAACTTCTATTTCCTAACGCCTCGCCGTACTCGCGAGAGGTGATATCACAGGAGTAAATAAACCGCCTAATTAGCAGTGTCATGCGCTATGCATCACTCCTGATTGAATTACTTGATCTTATTCGGGAAGAAGAACCGCCCGCGCGCGAGAATGCAACGTACTTCGCGGAACTTCGGCTAAATATAATGTTTGTACCTGTCTTCGTGCCCTGCAAGTTTCTATAATGCTATACTCGCCTCGGGAACGCGTTTGTCGAGTTCGATTTCCCGTGTGTGCGTGACGTTTTCTATTTAAGCTTTCTGTATACGATATTGAATTGCAAGTTTCAGCCTTTCTCCCAAGCTCATTGTATTTTTACCACTAATTATCTAATATGCGCTGTATATCTAATCTAACGAGATTATTAGACTGATTCGCTGCATAATTGTTGCTTACATAAATGCATCCGCTAAAGTAAATTCGCGAAGAAATCAATTGTAATTCGAAGTCCGTATATTTTGTAAGCGACTCCGATGTTCGGAAAGATAAGATCCTAGCGTTCCGATTAGTAGTTCAAACAAAAATATCTGACACTGATATGTGCACAACTTACGTGCGAGAACATCGAAGAAAAAAAAAAAAAGACCGCAATTTTATCTTAAGATATCAATTTAAAAAGTATTGAACTGAGTTTACACAAGCTGGAATTTTTTTTCTTCTTTTGGAAAACCTGATTTTTAAATGGAATTTTTCATACAGCAGTTTGGCATCGCAAAGATTTTGCTTTTACAATAAAAAACGTTTCGATATAGTCCTCTTTTGAAGTGAAAAATTAAATTCCAATCACGCTGCATCGTCTGAATAATTAAGATCATTAATATCTTTCGACAGAATAAATGAACAAAAAAAGAAAGGTTAAAAAAAGAAGAAATTTTCTCGAATTACACGCTGCTCGGTCGACGTAAGCGACTTCAAGTGTCACGACAAAGTAAAATCTGGACTTTCGCTCAAGCGTAAACAGATGTAATATTATATCTCGGGGCTCACACGCTCCGTCGATTGTATCTCAGCCAGATAATAACTGTACCTACGAAGGTAACCGCTGAAGGTAACCGCACAAATATATTGTAGTCCACAAGCGTGTAATTTGCAATCTTACTATTGTCGTTCGCTAGTTGTAACTTTGATGCTCCGACTTTGTCGGTGCGCTGTTGAATAATTGACCAAGTTCGAGTTCGACTTTGAGTTTTCTCATGTGCATAGTGCGGCCGTTAAACGACCAAGTTGTGTTTTTTTATCAACAAAGTACAAAAGTTAAATACCGCGTTACGAAACAGTATTTCCCTCGCGGCGAAAGGAGATATCGTGGCACTTAACAATCGTCCTGTTATTCAATTACTTCATGATACCGAAACTAATCTTGAACAATCAAAAGATTGTCCAATTGTGACTCATTAAAAGCACGCGACGCGACTTGCAGTACCTTTGAAAAATCGTTAAAAGCCTCGCAATATCGCTTTACTATGACGTTAAAATATCGGAGCTACATTTAGAACTGTATTAATCGTATACAAAGAAATCAATTCTCAATTTTTAAAAGCACGTCAAACTTATCTAAGCTCGAATGTCTAAAAAAAAAAGTCTATTCTTAGAAAATATGAATTTTAAGCATTGATTGATTTCCATTGAAGGCTGCAATCAGAATGTTATTCAAATCGTGAAAAGTTGCAGACCGGAGTCGCTGCCGTATTGAGCCTTCGATGCGAAACAGGAGCGATCAGTTCCGTCATTAATTTATTAATATATTCCAGAGACGCGTATGGTTCACTGCTGGCGTACGCTATGACGTAACTGTAAACACTACGCCCGCCTGAATTGATCAAGTGACTTGCGATCGAGGGCGTGACACGTACTTAAAATATGTGTCAGAGGTCAGTAACGGATTGTATCGATGATTAACGAGGAAGCACCGCAATCGCAGCTGTTCGTCCGGTCGCGAAAAATATACTTTCCAAAAACTTATCGCGCGCTATTATCGCGCTTCACACGGACGACCGGAAGTGCTATTTTCCGGGGTTATTCCCCTCGCATTCGCTTCGCACGGTCGTGAAACTGCACTTCGAGCGAGTGTGTCCGCTCGACGATGCGGCCAAACCCGCCGACCTTAACACTTCGTGACATTCAGCCGCTCGATTTCGTGCGATACAGCGTGACTCAGCTCCTAGATTCGGTGTCGTGACGAAACCCAATCGCTACCGCGAGCGGCTCTGCCAATGTGCGAACCGATACAAAAGCGATTAAGCGCGCCGGCTCGTCAAACTGCTGAAGTAGGTCGTTCCTCAAAACGCTCTCCGTATGCGCGAGCACGGGAATAAATTAAGAGAAGATAGCGTACGCTTCGCTGTGTAAACTTGGCGAAAATCCTGTTTCTCCACTTGCCTCGCCGAGAGTTAACTCGCTTTCCCCTGAAACAGCGTTAACGTCGTTGCGTGTCCTCCCGAATAGCGCGTGCCGCGTAACGATACGGCTTCTTCCCTCTCGTGCGAGCGCACGTACGATCGCGTGCACGCAACGCACGCATTCACTTCCGTCGATGCGGCACTCGCAGAAGCTGTGCGCGTACAGATGGGACGCGGAAGTGACCGTATAAATCGAGGAGACTTCGCCGCTTCGATGCGTCTCGCGCGCGACGCATCGCCGCAATTTCATTCACGGTCCATCCGTGTCGCGGGGACAGGAAGTCAAGTTTCGCCCTTTATTCCGAGCCAGATAAGAGTTAAATAGTTACGTGGCACAGTTACAGCATTGAACACATGACGCTCGAAGTACAGCGAGAGAAGCTTTGAAAGTGTCATCGGAAAAAATAACTCAAATGCCGATGAAAAGATTTGGAGCTTACGTAAAAAATATTGTTCATTGAACAACTTAAAGCTGCTTGCGTATATGAGAACGTTTTTTCGTGCCAAAAAAAATATAGTGAAATGTAAATTAAGCTGACGAGAAATTGTTAATTCAGCGGCCGATTTAGCTTCTACTCCTCGGCGATGAAAAAATAACTCAAATGCTGATGAAAAGAGATTTGAAGCTTACGTAAAAAATATTGTTCATTGAACAACTTAAAGCTGCTTGCGTATATGAGACCGTTTTTCGTGCAAAAAATATAGTGAAATGTAAATTAAGCTGACGAGAAATTGTTAATTCAGCGGCCGATTTAGCTTCTACTCCTCGGCGATGAAGCCGCGGACACGTTCAATTCAATAAATCGAGATTCGTCCGCACGACTACGTGCGCGATAATGGTCCTTGAACGATAATTCTTACATAATAGCTTATCTAGAAATAAAAGTCGCGAAGTCAGATCGATGGGAGCCCCGAAACTTTCGCAATAAAGGACGTGCAAAGATGATTACGTTTGATTCACAACTTTTCGCCCGCTCTGCAGTCCGCTCGATAAATCTAATCTCCGTCCTGCAATTTTTGGAGCACTTGCTACACGCCACGGCGGAGTTGCAAGCAGGTACAAGGACGAGTTTATCTCGATCGAAGCGCGCGAGATCGCTTTATTCGCCCTTCCACGCCCATTGACATCAATTTAAAATTAAACCAACACGCGTGCATGATCGCCGTTAGCGCGAGGAGCTCACCGTCGCGCTCGGGCATCTCGCTCGCGAGTATTCACATCCGCGACACCAAGTTTACAACTGCAGAAAACGCAGAGCCGCGTTTCCGCCGCATTAATCTCGCCGATACGACGGCGTTTTACGAGCGGCGGCGAGTCGCGTTCGATTCGCCGCTCGGCGCTCTCCGCGTTCAATGGAAGCGCCGGGAAATTGGGTCACCGGCAGATAGATCGTCTTGACAGGTGAACAGAACGCCGCTGGACGAGCGGAGTAGGCGACGGGGGGTGAATGCGGGGGTAAAAAGGCCGACGCCGTAGCGGAAATTAAAGTCGGCCGAACACGTACGTTCGACGGGCGAGTCGCCGATAGAGATACGAGTCGAAATGTGATCGCAGGAGTGGGCGATCGACGACGCCTCGCGCGGGATATCGCGCGAGGACGAAAGCCGACGGACGTGTACGTTTGCGTGCGGCGTCGGCGGCGGCGGCGGCGGTGATGGCAGCGCGACACGAAAATTACACCCCCGCGCTCATAGCCGATGCGATTCGATCGCGTACAGTGGGACACGTTCGCCAGCGGCGGTGATAGCGGCCGCGACGGCGGCGGCAATCGATGCCGGCGGGGCTCTGCGGATTCGTCGTCGTCGTCATCGTCGTCATCGACGACGGCGACGCCGCGATCCCGAGCGAACGAATTATCGACGATACGACTCACCTTCGCGATACACCGATATCGGGAATTCCAGCGCGACGTGTTCGATTTCACTGTACAGTGCTAGGGAGAAGAGTCGAGGCGGCCGCACGCCATTTTTATCTACAATATCCACCCGTCACTGCGGCGGTGGCGGCGGCAACCCGAAGCCGCGCTGTCTCTCCGTGCCGTTCGCGTTTTCCGACTGGGAATGTGTACACAGTGGGTACTTACCCTCGCGTAAGGACACCCGCGGCACCGTCCTGTCCCGCAACTCGCATAAAAGTCTCGCCCGGTGCACCAAAAAAAATACCACCAAATAACGATCCAACAACGATCCACCCGTCCACACACTCGACCGGCGCGCAACCAACTGACCACGCACGACGGCAACCTACGCCGCGGCAACTAGTCCCTTTACGTGAAACGCGGCGCTTCGTCGCGTCGCGCACGCCGCCACGAAAAAATTGGAAGAAACGAAAACGAGAAATGCCCGCGCGACCGATTTCGCTTCAAAGCCTGCGATAAAAATCAAAAATGCAGCAACATGGCGAATGTATACTTCAGAGATTTGCAAAAAGTTTATTTGATTTGTTCTCAGGTGTCGCGACAAAGAAAGCTGGCACGCCTTCGATTTTGAATATACTTATCAATAAAAATTATATTTGTAAACCTAATAATACGTATATATGTATACAATATACACGTTTGCACAATTTTAATCAATTAACAATATCTTTTTTGAAAGGGAACATTGTACGTGAAAGATGTTCGAAAGATATCTCGTCATAACCTTCAAGTATGCACTTTGCGATAAAACATTTGAAGTAAAAATAACACAACCTCGTTGTTATATCGATATTATAATTATTTGTATTTCTCACCCGACAGCGGGTGAGTAAAGAACGAATTGATTTGAAGAAATAACATAATATCAGCACT